GAGTCGTATTACTTGAAAAATACTTGATGCAAAAGCTACAAAAAAAGAAAATTAATCGTTATCTAGTTGTAACATTTTATCAAGAAAATACAACCCCCCTGGCCACCTCTTTGCAAGCTTAGGTTTCGACTAGTTTTAATTCACATTACTCTCTTCCAAAGTCTCTTGTACCGTTTCCCAAGAAAACTAGAAATTGTCTGCATCAAGAAAGAAACATCATCTTGAGTATAATAGAATCAGTCCAATCAAATATGAATTCCATTAAAACCAGAACAAAAAATATGAATTCCATAAAAAATCACTGACAAGAATATACCTCAACACCTTGAACTATGTTGACTCGCTTCAACAGTTGGTTGAAACACTTCTTTGGACAAACGTAAATTATCTTCACAAGCCGAGAGAGTAGGTCTTGCAAACTGACTTGGGTTAGAGAAGCTTGAAGTCTCATGATCAAGACTGTCTTCAATAGTTTCTGGAACTGTTGCCATGGGTAAACACAAGAGAGGTTTAGGTGGAACCTGGAGAGCATCTAGATTCCCCTCTAACATTTCAATGACTTTGATCATTGGTGGACGGTCAGATGGATTAGTCTGAATACACCACAGACCAACCAATACCATTTTCTTCGCAATTTTCTCTTCTTCTTTGGTTATCTGATCTCCGAAGATCGTCATAATCTCTCCCCTTTCAAAATCCTTATAGATCCAATCTGGAAAGTACATTGAACTATTGTTGGATTCAGAATGTTCAACTTTTTTTATATTCTTTGCTCCAATCATCTCAAGAACCACCATCCCATAACTATACACATCTGACTTGTGCGAAACTCCAAAATTCTTGAAAAACACTTCAGGGGCAATGTATCCTACCGTCCCTCTCGCGTCTAGCATTGACATGATGCTCTCTTTGTTTTTCCAGAGTTTAGCAAGACCGAAATCTGCAATCTTGGGACAAAAATCTTTGTCCATGAGTATGTTTTGCGGCTTTATATCGAAATGCACAATCCTCGTCACACAACGATTGTGCAAATACTCTAGGCCGCGAGAGACACCTACCGCAATGTCATATAACCTCTCCCATTCCATCTTCATTGACATATTATTGGATATAAACTCGTGGAGGGATCCATTCGGCATGAACTCATATATTATAGCTCTCTTGTTCCCTTCGTAACAGAATCCAAGCAGCGGAACAATATTTACATGAGATGTTCTACTCATGCTAGCTACTTCGTTGATGAAATCTTCTCCATTTCCATTTGCCTCCTTCAAGATCTTCACGGCGATATCTAGGCCTCCATCAGGTAACTTTCCTTTGTATACAATTCCAAATCCTCCTTTCCCGAGAACATGCGTGAATGAGTTTGTCATCTTCTTGACTTTTGCGTAACTGTATCGTTTCAGCATTACAATCGCTTCGACGTTCTTACCATTCCAATCACTTTTTCTCGCATTCTTTGCTCTCATTATTATTGCGAGTACCAAAATAATGATCATCACAGTTAATCCAGCTGAGCCTCCTACAATAAGACAAGAAGAATCAAAATTTAGGTTGTATGTATACAAAGAGTATCCAAGAGAAACATTGGTGTCATGGAGTGGATTGATTTATCTATATAAAATATTAATTTATTTATTTTTGCTATGAAAATTATATACATTTTGTTTAGGAAAAATAACCGATTGTCACATGGATTGAACTTTTAAGCCATAGGATAACCCTAGAAGTTTTAACTTCCATGATGTTTTTATTTTATGGAGAAAGTTGAAACTAAATAAGCAAAACAGAACATATCTTTTTACCTAATCCTAGTCCTAGCTTTATCTTCTTCTCTTGGTCGACGTCTGCAAAATAGCAGCGGCAAATCGAATTATTGTCATATCCAAATGTTTTGCAAGCAGAGTTGCAGAAGTAATGAATAAGTTTTATTGTGTCCATACCTTTGGTTCCTCCAACGCAGCAAAACTTGTTGTTGATCATCTTACATTCTCCTCCTCGGTTGTAGCAGGCAAAGCAGCCTCGAGGCAGCTCTATAGGAAGAGAAAATGTAGCACTTACATAAGGCTGGCTACCGATAGTTGGAATCAACCAGGTCTGTGGAACGTTGATAGCTAAACACCCTGAATCATCTCCCAAATCGGAGTAGTACACGTTGTTGCTTCCTCCTCTGCAGTTCTCATAAGTGAAACCATTCTCCCTACCGGTGTTGCATTTGTACAAAGTGCTAAACCCGAACCACGGGGAATCTGGAAGAGAGAAGCTTGACAAGTCACTGCAGGATCCGGTTACCAAGCTTTGGTTAAGCCTTGGGTCCGTGATGGTTAAGGTTTCGGCTTGAGAGATACTCTTGAATTCATACCATTTACCGTTTTCCTCAAGCTGTATCTCTGGAATCTCTTGATCACAATTCATCATAAACAGACCGCATCGAGATGGCATGTTTGTTGCGAAGAATGGGAACTGGAAGTCGAGGTTACCGCAAGTGAATGATTCGCAACCTGTCATTGGAGGACTCCTGGCTGCTGCCATGAAGTTGAGAAGGAGGAAGAAGAAGACCAACACAGAGATAGTCTTCATTTGTGTTCTTTTGCAAGCTTTTTGTTTTTTGGATATCTAGATCTAAAAATATCAAGACTTTGGTTCCATTTTTTTTTAAGAGATAGTGTGTTCAAGATATGACCACACAACGCTTATCTTTCTTAGTCTTTGACTCTTTGCATCCTCTGCTTGACTCTGGTTGAGTCTTCTTCCATAGCTTTCTAGGTGAGAGTGTAGAAGGGGTCAGCGTTCCAGGAAGCGCCAAGTCAGCAATCTAGGAAACTCCATATGTGTCCAACAGTTCTTTTGTCTATTGGAGTTTTGGTTATGGGTTTAGACAATAACGTGTTAATAACTTCAGTTCCGATGATAATGATCTCGCCGACCAAGGTGGCAGTGCTGCTGGCGATTCTTACGGCTAAGGAGATATGTTTGTCTCGGTTGCTAAGCCATAAACCCATATGTACTGACTGGACCTTCGTCGGCTAAATCAGTACTCATGCTTGTTAACCAAGTCCAATCACCAACATAATAATTTTTCTGATCAGTACTCATGCTTGCATATCAATTCAAGAAATGGTCAAATCGTTTTTGCCTACATTTTATTATCTATCAGAAGCTCAAGTAGTGACATACGTGCTCTTTGCAATTACATTTGTATGCTTCAACTCTCAACCATAGTTATTTTAGTTATTTTTGTATGCTTCATTCTTTTTTTTTGGTTCATAAAAAAATATCGGCCAAAGTCGAAGAACACTTTCATCTCCTTTGTCTGCAAAAGCTTGGTGACTACTTAACCACTACACTCACCCTAAAAAGATTAAACCTCCTAGTTATTAAAAAAATAATAATAATAGATATGGAGTTCTAAATAAATTAAAGAGAAAAGGGTCCATGAACTAAGAAAGGACCAAAAATAGACGATTAAACCATTTGTGGTCGACCACAGCCGCTAGCATGCACATGCAACATTCAACTTGGTGGTCGGGTTAAGCCATTAACCTTTCATGATACCTCTCCAAAACCGGCTCAAGCACGAAGAAACTTATCGGGTTGAGCCGTGGACCCTACAGTACACATATCCTACTTGGCCACCACTTTTCTTCTCTTTTTTCTTGCTTTAAGCGTTTCTATCTGCAAGGCTGACCCCCTTTGACGATTTTATCCGTGGTGCTATATTTTAATAAAATGGCTAGTGAACAAACACCACCATTTTTGTTGAATTTTGGAAAGCTTGATTAGGTTCATATTTTACAAATGTGGGGATAATTTTTGTTGTTGTTGTAGACGAAATGTCAATACCAACTATGTGATTATGAAATGAAAGTTTATAAATACTTGTAGGGAAAAAAAATCAGCTTGAAACACACTATAACGTATATTAAACTATGGCCGTAAATGGTAACATACTTTTAAAATTCGGCAACATTCAGATTCAACAATTCTACTAACATCATTTGCTATTTAATAAAATTCTGACAGGTTCAGCTAGATTCAACAATTTAACAACAAAAAAAAATCAAATAAATTAGCTGAATATTCAACAATTCTTAAAGAACTAAGTGATATAAAAATATATTTATTTGGGGTAAGAAAGTCGGATAAGAACGAATATGAGAGTTGTGTAAAGATATTTAGGATATGAAAATTACATTTGAAATATTTTTTTTTAAAATGGATCGATGATACGGATATGGTATATATAATCCGAATATTTAAGAAAAACTTGAATTTTTTTTTTTAAAAAAAATTAAGCAATTGGCGTAAATTTTGCTAAAACAAAATTTTGGAATAATTTATTCAGTTGTAAGATGAATTAATTTATAGTTATGATCCGCTGCAAGTTTTTTCCTTAAAAT